GACAGACCAGCCCCCTAACAGACCATAATCCCCCTGTTTCTTGCTGCCAATCATTACAAAAGTTAATATTTCAGGTTCGGTGACCCTTCCTCAGAGGAAACGTTAACTCTGATTTTTTCTTCACAGATGCTGCCAGCCTTGCTGAGCTTTTTCCAGCAACTTCTGTTTTTGTTTCTGATTTATAGCATCCGCAGTTCTTTCAGCTTTTATGACAAAAGGAAAGGCAACTCAGAGATGCCGTGAATGTCCAAGTAGGTGCTAAGCGAGTGAGAGCTAAGGAAGCAAGCTAAGATCCCTGCGATGTGTTCTGTTCCAATCAGTGCGTTGGATATCTGTTCCTTTGCATGATGCAAAATGACAGCAGCACTGCAAAGAAGTCAGTGAGCTCCAAAGTAAAGGATTAAAGTGCTAAACTTTATTATAAATGAATCCAAAACATGCAAAGAAAATGTTATGAGGTTGGTACTTTGTCAGTGTCAACATAAGTGATGGGGTGCAGGTTTCTGCTGTCTGTCGACCATGTAGTGAGATGATGGGACCTGCTGATCAAGACGACAGCCCAGAAAAAACACCAGCAAGCTGTAACTCCTAGGTGAAAACTGAAAGAACTGTGGATGCTGTAAATCAGGAGCATAAACAGTTCTGAGGAAGGGTCACTGGATTCGAAACATTAACTCTGATTTTTTCTTCACAGATGCTGCCAAGCTTGCTGAGCTTCTGTTTTTGTAGCTCCTAGGTACCTGATCAGACTTACATGTTGGGAGTTGTTGCTGTCTACTTTCTCTCCACTACTTGGTAAAATAACAAACTGTACATAAAAGAGAAACGATTAGATAAAAGGTTCCTCACTGCTCATCAGCAAGAATCTCATCTATCCACTTTCATCTATTCCACCTGGGATAGAATATTAGACTTCTTTTTCTCAACATCAGGAATCTAATTTTTTTGTTCTTGTCAGGCAAGAATTTTGCTTACAATGTTCACATAATTAAAAACTATCAGTCAACACTGTAGTGTAGTAAATCAACTTCCCACTGACAACGTTTAATATTAAATCAAATTTGCTGTTCGTGAATATCCTGGCCAGAGGTTTACAGCAGTAAAAATATAAATGCAAACCAGAAATTTCAGGAAATTAAAAAAAACTATATAAATAGCAAATGTTAGAAATGTACACTTTATTCACAGAATATCTGATAGCATAATCACAGAATTAGACACAAAGTTACATATTGAAAACTGAATGAAGCAACACCTGAAAGAAAACAATTTGTGCAATATCTTTTATGAAATTCATTACTGATTAAACATTTTGCATGGATTAGATTTTTAATACACGGTAGTGTAGTTGTTTTTAAAAATCTACATGTCAAAGATTATGAATTTATTCATAATTTGTTTTGTATCAATTGCAGTTGATTTATTTTTGTCTGAACAGTCAATCCATTAATATAACTGGGGCATTGGCCTGGGATGTTTTACTAAAACCAACAGCGTGAGTGAACTGAATGAAAATAGCACAAATACAGTGTAATCTGTTCAAAAGATCTGTGCAAGTCTGATTTACCTGGTTGATATCCACCAAAACCAGACAAGGCAGATTCTGTTTTTAAACGGTTCGTGTCCTCCCATAGTTGAAAGCCAAAAGGCATGATGACAGAGATACGAGGAAGGAAACCAGGAAATGGAGGTATTGGACTAGGCACGATGAAATCCAAATCTGCACAGTGCTGGTGGGAGACCAAATTCAGAGCTGAAAAATATAGGAAAGAGGTCTAGACTCAAGATTGAGGGAGCATTGGGTAGGGCTCTATGACCAAGAGATGAATGATGGCCAAGCAATAAACCACAACTCAACAATGTAGACCTCAAAAGCCCTGAATCTTTGGAGCTATGAGACCAACGACGTTCCAAAGATGTATATAAACAATTCTAAATCTGCATTTATATATTCCATATGATTTTCACCGGTCTCCCTGTTTCAGCTGTAGACCAGTGTAACACTTGCAGAAATTCTGGCAGAGTACAGTAAGAAGTTTTAAAAGTTGTCTTAGTGCAAGAGATTGTGCCCATTTTTTGCTGAGAGAAATTGCTGACCATGCCTCTACAAAATATATTTATGCTGCAATATTGTGTTCAAGCAGATCTGGATTGTTCAATTTAGCTGATGCCCTAGTCGCAAACATTCATGACAGATAATGAACAATCTACAGTGACTAACTAGTTCCAAATGTATCATTAATTCAACTATTTTCATGATTGCAGTCAATGACTAATTCAAATGAGTTCTGTCAGTGATTTTTAAGGATGCTAATGTTTTAAGTAAATTAAATTACCTTGTAGAAAAACTGAGTTGTATTGTTCTGTGTCTATTGGCTGTCCCTAAATTAGGGTAATTCTATGCTTTGTATTAGATGATTTCAGCAAAGGCTGTATTGGGAGGGGGAAATTAACTAAGGTACCCATCCATTGACTTCTCCTAGAAAGTATATGTGTGGACATCACAAGTTGATATCCTGTCAACACTTGACACACTGTTCACAAACATTTGTATAACGGATTACAGTTTGAAGCAAATAATATTGGTTCAATCATCTGTTAAACATTTTCTCAGCTTCAATTGACATCAGTGGAAGTGAAAACAAGGAGACGTGTTTAAGGTGAGCTTGAGCTAATATCACTTGTATTAAATTAATGTCCAATTTCAAAAATACTGCAAAAAATGGTTACTAAAGCATCCAAAATGACCAAAATGCATCACTGACTTCAGGTGGTTAAAAATTTAGGGGAAGAAAATGGAAAGAAAAGTCAAAATGGATCACAATTATTTATACCTGTGAGATTACTTTAGTAAAAGGTGCTAATGATGATTCACTCTTCTCAAAGCAAAAACAAAACAGAATTCCATCTGAAATCGTAAGTAATTGCAATGTTATATGGTCAAGATAGGTGATAATTGATCATGATAGTTAATACTGGGCAAGTAGTTTTAAACTTAAAATCAAAGCCAATGGTTTTGAGTTCATGCTTCTTAGATGGTTATTGACTTAGCCTAGAATTTGCCAGTCAGAATAATCTAAACTAAATAATTCTTTCATCTTACACTTAATATTTCATGAAACAGATTAAAGTCTTGTTTAATTTATTAGTTTCTCTAAAGTATCTGTTCTTTCTGCTGGCACTCTATACCTGTTCTTGGCCTAATGATGTATTTTTGTTTTTGCAACACCACATTCTGAAACAATGGAGTTTAATAGAATAAATTAAGCAGTGATTCTTAGTGCAACTTCTAGCATTACAGAATTTATAAATTTACCTATAAGCACATCATTGTATAAATTTTCATTTAGAAATGCCCTTTGCAAAATGTACCTTTCCCTAGGTAAATTGACTTTTGTATACACATTTACACTCAAACTGTTTTCGGTGAACAGTCCAAACTCTTAATCCACAAAAGAGTTTCTCCTCAATAAAATTATTTGCAATTCACATCACTTATCTTACTATAGGAGTTCAACAGAATACATCATAAAATGTGATCACTGTCACTGAGGACGTCAGTTTGATCATAAATAGCACTTGTAGGCTTTGTGTTATTAATCCATCCTACATCTAAAGTTATAATGTCAGTAAATAATCTATTACACAACTGTAACTGATTACAATAAATTTGGTAAACTAAAAAATAAATAGGGTTACAATGTGAATAATGAATATTGGAAGCAGGAAAAAAAGGACACAGGTGAATTAAAGTCAAACATTTTCCCTGTTCTGGACAAAAGACAATTCATCTTGATGGAAGCAAAAGAAAAACACTTATATAACATTCATATGCATTAATTTTGTTGAAACTAGTTTCACTATTTTGCATAGTAGCTAAAGACTTTAAAATAGATTTTAACAAAAATCTGATGCAAAAGCTATTATACATTATTGACAAAGGACACTGCAGTCTGTAAAAATGAAACAGCATAATCAGTTGATAAATTCAGCATAGTTTCAGCTAAAAACTGAGGCTGCAGTAGGAATAAATACAAGTATTCCATATTCCTTGAGTAATTCAAATAATCTTATGCTTATATGCATAAAGTCTGTTTGCCTGAAGAAACTCCTATTTTGGTAACTTTTGACTTCATACATTTCATATTATGATGCAGGCTGAAGAAAAATGGTGTTATTTGTAATGCTTAAACACAGACCTGCTGTGCAGTCATGTTACCATAATTCATTTTTTCCTTTTCCCTCATCCTTACTGCAGCCAGCACCACCACGCTCATAGTCTGTGTATACTCGGGAAAAAAAAACATTATTTCAAAACTAAACAAAAATAAAGTGAGGCCAATAAAACATAAAACAGGAAGATACCAGATCATTTAAGGCTAAATCTTTCTGTCAAGAGCTCTGCATGCTCCGTATTGCCTATAGCCTTCTCTAATTTAGTAAGAAAAACATGCATTGAAAAGGACTAGTTTAAATAGAACATATTATAATTTAATATACATAAGTATGTAAGTATTGAAGATAATCATCTTAATTTTAATTTAAAATGTGAATTCAATCAACAAAAGATATCCATTCTCTTTACTAATACACTCTGCTGGACTTTAAGATCCTATTCTGTAATACGTTTTATGAGGCATAGCAAAACCTCATGAATTTTTGCTACTACTGAATAAATATAAATTTAATGTGAATCATGCCATAAAACTATATGCAAGAGCTGCACATATTATTGCATGCTGTTTGTGATATTACATGCTTGTTAATGGTAATATTACAATGAATTTAAAGTGGCTTAGGTCTTGTATCAAAGCAATAAACATTACATTTCACTGCTGCTGTTTAATTAACATCTCAGAATGCAAGTAGTGCTAATGAAACTTTGCCCTAATTTGTAAATATTAATTGCAGTATATTAGTCCCATTAAAGTTTGAAAATTACAGTAGAATTGCCTTTGATCAAAAATTAGATTTTAGTGTCCATCAAAAAGGTCCTGAAGTTACGTAAAACGTTCAGAATTCATTTTCCTCAGTTTGGGAGGAAGGTTTCCCTCAATCCTTGAACCACCTGCTAGTCTCTGTAGTTTTGGTGGCAGATCAGCCACAGATTGGCTCATTGGGTCACAGGTCACCTTACTGGTCTTTGGCACCAGTTTTTCCTCAGAATTTCCCGGAACTGAGCTGATTCGTTGCAGCTTCATCGGTAGATCTCCCATACTGTATGCTTTTTCTGAAGTGGTAGAACTCATTCTTTGTAATTTTTTGGGTAGATCTTCCCTCCCTGTGATCTTCTGCAGTTTCAATGGTATCCTGGTGCTTAAATCGTCAACACTATCGAAGCAGTCCACAGAATCATTCCTATCTGGCATAGTGCCTCTGCTGTTGTTAACAGCTGGGGCCATCAAAGGAGAAGTCATAAATAGCATTTCCTCTTGTTCTTTTACACTGTACGGTGGCGTTGGAATTTCAAATGTTGCATGAAATTGAGAGTAATCCACTTTGAAGAATCCTTCTTCCAGGGAAATAACTGGGAAAAAACGATTACCCCAAAGAACTTCATCTTCTGTGTATGATGTCCTTGCTTGGCATGTCATGCCTAGAGGGAAAATACAAATGTAAATCAATAATGTCAGAATTTAAGGTTAAATCTGATAATTCATTTCTAAAAATTTGATAGGTAGCTAAATGTTAATCACTTTCTAAAAGTCAAAGATCATGCATCAAATTAATATTCCACAATCAACTTTATACCAATTAATTAGAAACAGAACTTTGGGATTTTACATGCCTGTAAATAAAAACCATTCCCCACTAGATTTTCAATCAGAAAGATGAATTACTGCTGAACATATCCTTGGTGTTCAAATATGTTCCACAGAGTTATAGATACTTGATATTTTGGGCGAATTTGATCCAAGGGAGAAGAGTCTCATCTACTGCCTGGAGAGTCAGTGCAAGAAAGTGGCTACTATCAGAACTTAGCCATGTTTAAGGACCCACACGAGTCGAAATCTTGTCCTTGACAGCTGACAAAGAAACGTGGCGCTGTGGTAGCTGCCAGCAATGCAGCCAACATAGGCCCAGGATCAACAAGGAATCTTGGGTCAAAGTGAGCGAGGACAGTGTGGGATATATTGAGGTAGGAGCTCATGAGACTGAAATGAAGGTACAAGGGAGGTTGGAGATAGGGCACAGGAGTGGCTCTCAGTGCATCCCTCCTTCCCTCAATCAGGAACTGTGCTTTTGAATAGGGGCCTACACCACCTTTGGGATTCCCCAAAGTGGTCGATACCAACAGCAGGGAAGATGAGGCCTTTAAGTGGGCCATTGCTCACTTAAGGTCCTCCATTAGCCTCCAGGCAGAACATCTGTCCACAAGCTTCCCTGGCCCAGACACTATTGGCCGGAAGTACGAAGACAGTGGTAGTTCTAATCTGGCTCTTTCCTGCCTGATTAAGTCCTCTGCCCTCACCTCCAAGCTCCCTTCCAAGGAGGCACTAAATTCCATCCAATACTTGTAACAATGAACAAGACATGATCTGTAATTGAAATACTCTGTCCATGTAGGAAAAGGCAGACCAGATTGATGAATTTTTTCCTGAAGAAGGGTCTCGACCCGAAACGTCAGCCTTCCTGCTCCTCTGATGCTGCTTGGCCTGCTGTGTTCATCCAGCTCTACACCTTGTTATCCTAGATTGATGCATGTTTGACAAAGTAAGAGTAAATTTCTGAGCACTTGGCCAGAATTTTGCAATTATTTCAGCTTTGGCAGTGTTTCAAATTACTAAGAAAAGGGGTACATAGATAAACTTGGCAACTACAGTCAGTTAATCAAGCATCGCTGGTTGAAAAAAAATTGAGAAACAATAATCCAAGACAAAATTAATTGTACGGAAAAGTATGGGCAAATAAATGAAACTCAGCAAAAGTAAAGGCTGATTGTGATTGACAACTCTGATAAAGTAATGCAAAGGATTGTTGAGGATAATACAGTGGATGTTGTAAATATGGATTTTCATATTAACTTTATTAATATAAGCATACAGTACAATAGCAAAGTGGTTATGTTAAACCTTTATATACCATTGGTTTGACCTAGATGAAATATTGTGTTCAATTTTAGGAACCACACTTCAGGAAGAACATCAGATCACTACAGAGGTTGCAGAAGAGATTTACTAGAATGATACAAGAGATGGGGTATTTCAGTTATGGGGTATTTCAGTTATGTGGAGAGAGTAGAAGAGTCAGGGTTGTTCTCTTTGAAGCCAACAAGGTTTAGGTATGTTTTGAAGGGCTTTGATAGAACTGTTTCCTGGGTTGATAACCAGAGGTCATACATTGATGACTGATAAAAGTACCAAAGGCAAACCTTTATTCAGTAAGCTATTACAATCTGGAATTTAGGATGAAACTTACAAACTCACAAGTCTCTGAATAGCATTGTAAGTCAATTGGGAAAATAGGATGAGATCAGCAGAAATGAGATTCTCAACATTAATGAAAAGTTTGATTCTCTAACCAAGTGCTGAACAGACAGACAGGTATCTCACTATTGAGCATCATGAGGCCTACTTGCATTAATTTGTGTGCCATTAGTAACTAATCTTGCCTCATTAATATGCAATTTTTCATTCTCCGACCTGCCAGATAGAAACTAGATGTCAACAATTGCTCACATGGGATTCAAAATTGGTATGTAGCATATCAGCTCACCACTTGTTCTTCTAGTCCTCCATCTTGGCAGCAGTGAGCAACATCTGAAAGCATGCTCTGGGGTAGTGACTGACCACACCCCCAGATACATCTCCAGCACACTTAACCCCCAGCCACGTCTCCAACACACTTAACCCCCAGTCACGTCTCCAACACACTTAACCCCCAGAAACATCTCCAAAACACTTAACCCCCAGATACATCTCCAACGCACTTAAACCCCAGCCATGTCTCCAACACACTTAGCCCCCAGCCACGTCTCCAACTCATTTAATCCCCAGCCATGTCTCCAACACACTTAACCCCCAGCCACGTCTCCAACACTTTCTGGAGTGCACAGGCACCTTTCATTCCAAATCTGTTGTCAGGACATTGAGCATGAGGTCAGGCAACCAACTCATGGATTGGACCAGGGTGCATCTCAGAGCTCCTCGCTTGATGCCTTAGCATTCAATTATTTTGTGCTTATTTGGATGCTCTCAGCATCTCTGCCTTGCCTTCTTCTTTTGCCCTTAGCCCCTGCAGCCAGAACATAGGAACATAGAAAATAGGTGCAGGAGCACCTTCAAGCCTGCATCACTATTCAATATGATCATGGCTGATCATCCAATCTCAGTATCCTATTCCTGCCCTCTCCCCATATCCCTTGATCCCTTTAGCTGCAAGGGCCACATCCAGCTCCCTCTTGAATATATCTAATGAATTGGGGCTTCCTGTGGGAGAGAGTTCGACAGGTTCACAACTCTGAGTGAACAAATTCTTCCTCATCTCAGTCCTGAATGGCTTACATCTTATTCTTAGATTGTGACCTCTTGTTCTGGACCTCCCCAACATTGGAAACATTCTTGCCGCATCTAGCCTGTCCAGTCTCATCAGGATTTTATATGTTTCTATGAGATTCCCCCCTATTTTTCTGAAGTCCAGTGAATACAAGCCCAGTCTATCCAGTCTTCCCTCATATGACAGTCCTGCCATCCCAGGAATCATTCTGGTGAATTTTTGCTGGACTCCCTCAATAGCAAGAATGCCCTTCCTCAAACTTGGGGAGACCAAAACTACACACTATACTCCAGGTGTAGCCTCACCAAGGCCCTGTATAACTGCAGCAAGACATCCCTCCTCCGATAATCAAATCCTCTCGCTATGAAGGACAGCATGCCATTAGCTTTCCTCATTGCCTGCTGCACCTGCATGCCAACCTTCAGTGACAACCAGGTCTCATGGCACCTCACTTTTTCCTAAACTGCCACCATTCAGATAATAATGTGCCTTCCTGTTTTTGTGACCAAAGTGGATAACTTCACATTTATCCATATTAAAATGTGTTTGCCTACTCAGCCAGTCTGTCCAAGTCACCCTGCAGCCTCTTAGCATCCTGCTCACAGCACACACTGCCACCCAGCTTAATGTCATCTGTAAATTTGGAGATATGGCTTTCAATTTCTTCGTCCAAATTATTAATGTACATTGTGAACAACTGAGGTCCCAGCACTGAACCCTGCATCACTGCACTCGTCACTACCTGCCACTCTGAAAAGGACCTGTTTATGCCAACTCTCTCCTTCCTGTCTGCCAACCAGTTCTCTATCGACATCAATACATTATCTCCAATACGATGAGCTTTAATTTTCCTTTCTACTCTCTTGTGTGAGACCTTGTCAAAAGCCTTTTGAAAGTCCAGATGCACAACATCTACTGATTCACCAGCGTCTACTCTACAGGTCACAGCTTCAAAAAATTCCACAAGATTTGTCAAGCATAAGAGATAACAAGGTGTAGAGCTGGATGAACACAGCAGGCCAAGCAGCATCAGAGGAAGGAAAGCTGACGTTTCGGGCCTAGAAACTTCTTCAGAAATGGGGGAGGGGAAGGGGGTTCTGAAATAAATAGGGAGAGAGGGGGAGGCGGATAGAAGATGGATAGAGGAGAAGATAGGTGGAGAGGAGACAGACAGGTCAAAGAGGTGGGGATGGAGCCAGTAAAGGTGAGTGTAGGTGGGGAGTCAGGGAGGAGATAGTCCAGGGAGGACAGACAGGACAAGGGGGCGGGATGAGGTTAGTAGGTAGGAGATGGGGTGGGGCTTGAGGTGGGAGGAGGGGATAGGTGGGAGGAAGAACAGGTTAGGGAGGCGGGGACGAGCTGGGCTGGTCTTGGGATGCAGTAGGGGGAGGGGAGATTTTGAAGCTTGTGAAGTCCACATTGATACCATTGGGCTGCAGGGTTCCCAAGCGGAATATGAGTTGCTGTTCCTGCAACCTTCGGGTAGCATCGTTGTGGCACTGCAGGAGGCCCAGGATGGACATGT